CCCCCCCCCAAAACTGGCCAGAACACCTCATTTCCTCATCTTCCAGGCTCTTCCTGACCTCAGCTAACAGTAGCCGGTGTCAGTTGAGCACTTGTTGGGCGTGCCCCCATCTAATCACCACCCATCTAATCACCACAGCACCCCCAAGAGGTGGTGTTGTCCCCATTTTAAGGATGAGAAACCTGAGGAGGCACAGGGAGGCGAAGCAGCCCGGCTGGCCTGGTCCCTGAGCTCCAGCTCCTGGCTGGGACCCAGCCTCGTCCCAGGGCCGCAGGCGGGCTCTGCCCTGGACGCTCAGGGAGGAGATCGGGGTCTGGTCTGCCTGTCACTCCCGATGACGCCCTCCCGTCCTGCCTCTATACGCCGTCGGGCAGGTGTACCTCCTCAGTCCTGCCTGCATCCTGCCGCTTGCTCACAGCCCTCCTTTCTGCTCAGGCCACTGTCCCCTCTCCCTTTGTCCCCACGGCCCCCTTCCCACCCTTCCACTCTCATTCCAGCCGTGTCCCACGCCCCGGCTCTGGCTGCCAGGGGAACCCTTCTCTGTTGGTCAGTAGTTGGCTTATGCTGTGTAACCAACTAACCGGAACTCAGCTGCGTCAAGTGGCAAGCGTGTATGTTTCTCAAGCAGCTGGAAATATTTGTGCACAAGCCTGTGTGGTCGTATTTTTTGTTCCTCTTGGGTAAGTGGCTGTGAGTGGAACAGCTGGATGATATGGCGGATGTATGCTTCACTTTCAGAAGAACCGACTAAGTGTTTCCCAAGTGGTTGCCCTGTCTTTACTCCCCGCTGTGGTACCTGAGAGCTGCGGGTGTTGTCCATACTCGCCAAAGCTCGCTCGGCCCGGGTTCGCTGTTGTTCCAGCCTTTCTAATGGGTGCGTGGTGCTGCCTCCTGCCTGGAGTTGGCATTTCCAATTCTGACGGCATTTCTGGTGACCAGTGACATGGGGCATCCTCTTATGCGCTTACGGGTCATCTGGATGTCCTCTTGGGTGAAGCGTTCGCAAATATTCCCGCCATTTTCTCATTGGGATATTTGACCTACTGAGTTGTTAGAGTTGTTTATACATTGTTGATAAAACTCCTTTGTCTGATAACGTGTTGTGAATATTTTCTCTCACTCTGACTTGCCTTTGTATGTGTTTAGTGATATCATCCTTTTTTAATACTGGGTTAAAAAAAAACAACCCAGTGTAGTTAATATTAGCACAGTGTAGTGTTATATGAGCTGCAGGTGTATAATCTAGCGATTCAACAATTCCGTACTCAGTGCTCATCGAGGGTAAGTGACCTCTTAATCCCTGTCACCTGTTTCACACCCGTCACCCACCTCCCCTCTGGTAACCGTGTGTGTGTTCCTATAGTTAAGAGTCTGTTTTTTGGTTTGTCTCCCTCTTTCTCTCTTTTCGTCCCCCTCGCCCCCTCCGGCTCCTTTGTTTTATTTCTGAAGTTCCACATGCAAGTGAAATCATACGGTATTTGTCTTTCTCTGGCTTGTTTCATTTAATACACTCTGGCTCCATCTTCGTGGTTGCAAATGGCAAGATTTCATTCTTTTGATGGCCGAGTGATATTGCATTGTACGTATGTACCACATTTTCTTCATCCGTTCATCTATTGATGCACCCTTGAGCTGCTTCCCTAAGTTGGCTGTTGTAAACAATGCTGCGCTCAACACAGGGGTGCATGTACCCCTTTGAGTTAGTGCTTCTGTATTCTTTGGGGGGAATGCCCAGTAGTGCAATTATTGGATCGTAGGGTAGTTCCGTTTTTGCTTTCTTTTGAGGCGCTTGCGTACTGTCTAACACAGCGGCTGCATCGGTTTACGTTCCCACCAACAGTGCAAGAGGGTTCTTTTTCCACATGCTTGCCAACACGTTTCTTCTTTTTTGTAATGTTTATTTCTGAGAGAGCATGAGTGGGGGAGCTGCAGAGAGGGGGGCGGACAGAGGATTCAAAGCGGGCTCTGCACTGACCGCAGAGAGCCCGATGTGGCACTTGAACTCAGGAACTGTGAGATCGTGACCTGAGCCAAAGTCAGACACCCAACCGACTGAGCCACAGGCACCCCTTGTTGTTCCTTGTGTTGTTGATTTCAGCCATTCTGACAGGTGTGAGGTGACACCTCATTGTAGTTTTGATTTGCATTTCCCTGATGATGAGTGATGTTGAGTATCTGTTCTTGTGTCTGTATGTCCATCTGTATGTCTTTGAAGAAATGTCTATTCACGTCTTCTACCCATTTTTAATCAGATTATTTGGGTTTTTTTTGGTGTTGAATTGTATAAGTTCTTTATGTATTTTGGATACTAATCCTTTTTTGGATATGTCATTTGTAAATATCTTCTTCCATTCGGTAGGTTGTCTTTTAGTTTTGTTGGTGGTTTCCTCTGCTGTGCAGCTTAATGATATCTTTTGAAGAGGAAAAGTTTTTTTTTTTTTTTAATTTTAAAGTCCAGTTTACCAATTTTTTTCTCTTATGGATCATGTTTTTGGTGTCATATATAAGAAATCTTTATTCATCCTAAGGTCACGCAGATCGGCCATGTTTTTTCTAGGAGTTTTATAGTTTCAGGTATTACATTTAGGTTTATGATCCCTTTGGAGTTAATTCCTGTGGATATTGTGAGGAAGAGTCAATATTCACTTTTTTCCCTGCAGGTAATCAGGTGATCCTATATGGTTTTTTTTAACCTGTTTTTTAAAATTTTTTGAAATTTATTTTTGAGAGAGAGAGAGAGAGAGACAGCGTGTAAGCAGAGGAGAACAGAGAGAGAGGGAGACACAGAGCAGGATCCAGGCTCTGAGCTGCCCGCACAGAACCGGATACAGGGCTCAAACTCATAAACCATGAGATCATGACCTGAGCCAAAGTTAGACACTTAACCAACTGAGCCACCCAGGCGCCCTGATCCTATACCAGTTATGAAAAAGGCTTTCCTTCTCCACTGAATTGCCTTGGAAACTCAGCCAAAAATCAACTGACCAAGAAACTCTGGCAAAAATCAACTGACCAGATATGTGTGTGTCTTTCTACACTCTCATATTTTAATGCTCTATTGATGTATGTGTCTATTATTTCATTAGTAATGAACCATCTGGTCTGTGATGGGTTTATAGTAAGTCTTGAAATCAGGTAGAGTCTTCCAATTTTGCCTTCCCTTTGAAAATAGTTTTGGTTATTCTAGGTGCTTTATATTTTCATAAAAATTTTATCCCTTTATTTTTTTATTTTATTTTATTTTTATTTTAGAGCAGGAGAGGAGCAGAGAGAGGGAGGGAGAGACTCTCAAGCAGGCTCCATGCTCAGCACAGACCCCAACATGAGGCTTGATCCCAAAACCCTGAGATATGACCTGAGCCGAAATCAAGAGTCAGATGCTCAACCAATGGAGCCACCCAGGCACCCCATTTTCATAAAAATTTTATAATGAGCTTGTCACTTTCTGCATTTTATTTTTTATTTTATTATTATTTTTTTTTTAATTTTTTTTTTCAACGTTTATTTTTGGGACAGAGAGAGACAGAGCATGAACGGGGGAGGGGCAGAGAGAGAGGGAGACACAGAATCGGAAACAGGCTCCAGGCTCTGAGCCATCAGCCCAGAGCCCGACGCGGGGCTCGAACTCACGGACCGCGAGATCGTGACCTGGCTGAAGTCAGACGCTTAACCGACTGCGCCACCCAGGCGCCCCACTTTCTGCATTTTAAAAAAGCCTGCTAGAATTTTTATTGTGACTGCAATGAATCTATAGATGAATGTGGGGAGAATTGTTATCTTAACAGTTTGAGTGTTCTGAACAATGAACACGGTATATACCTTTCCATTTATTTAGGACTTCTTTAATTTCTCAGCGGTGCTTTGTAATTTTCAGTGTAGATGTTTTGGAATTCGTTGGTTCGTTTTATTCCCACTTATTTTCCAGTTATGTTGGTGCTACTGTGAATTGGATTTTAGTTTTAATTTTGTTTTTTAATTATTTGCTACTAGTGCATAAGAACATAATCGATTCTGTATATTAACCTTGTAACCTTTGACCATATTAAATCCATTTATTTGTTTTTGGAATTGGTGTCGATTTCCTGGATTCTGTACATAACAAGCATATCATCTGCAGACAAGGAGAGTTTTATTCCTTGTTTTGCAGTTTCTTGAATTTGGCAGTGATCTTACCTCCTCTATTAAAAAAACCCAACTATAATGCTGTTATTTTCTTCTTTGAATGTTTGATAGACTTTAACAGTGAAACCATCTGGGCATAGAGTTTTGTTTGTTTTGGGTTTTTTTGTTTGTTTTTTTTTGGTTTTTGGTAACAAATTTAACAGAAATACGATTCAGATTTCCTGTTTGTTCTTGTGTCAATTTTGGAGAGTTGGAGAGAGAAAGAAATTTCTTTCATTTACGTTGTCAGATTTGTTGACATAAAGTTGTATTCTCCTGATTTCCTTTTAACATCTGTAGGATCTGTGATGATAACCCCTTTTTCATTCCTGACATGGCTATTTGTGTTCTCTTTTTCTTAAGTCTAGATAGAGGTTTGTCAGTTTGATCTTTTCAACCATCTTTTGACTTTGTTGATTTTTTCTATTGTCTGTTTTCTATTTCATTGATTTTTTTTTTTTAAAGAATATCTTTCATTTTTTTAAAGTAATCTCTGTACCCAACATGGGGCTCGAACGCATGACCCCAAGATTGAGAGTCATATGCTCTTCTGACTGAGCTAGTCAGGTGCCCCTGTTTTGTTGATGTTTGTTCTTTATTGTTTCATACTTCTGTCTATGTTGCGTTTACTTTGGTCTTCCTTTTCCAGCAAGATTCCAGGGTGGACTCTAGGTGACCGATTTGAGACCTTCCTTTTTTTCTAATGTAGTCATTTATTTATTTTTTAAGGTTTGTTTACTTATTCTGAGAGAGAGAGAGAGAGAGACAGACAGAGAGGGAGAGATGGAATCCCTAGCAGTCTCCACACTGTCACTACAGAGCCTGATGTGGGGCTCGAACCCACAAACTGCAAAATCACGACCTGAGCCAAGATCAAAAGTTGGATGCTTATCCAGCTGAGCCACCCAGATGCCCCCTCTGATGTAGTCATTTAAAGTTCTATGTCTCCCTCTAAGAACTGCATTAGCTGGATCTCACGCATACTGATACTTTGTTTTTACATTATCGTTCAGTTCAAAATGCTTTCTAATTTACCTCATGATTTTATTTTTGATCCATGAATTCTTTTCAAGTATGTTTACTTTTTATTCTAATTTTATTAAAAAAAATTTTTTTTTTCATAGAGAGTGCAAGCAGGGGAGGGGCAGAGAGAGGGAGACACAGAATCTGAAGCAGGCTCCAGGCTCCGAGCCATCAGCACAGAGCCCGATGCAGGGCTTGAACTCACGGACTGGGAGATCATGACCTGAGCCGAAGTCAGAGGCTCAACCGACTGAGCCACCTAGGTGCCCTGATGTTGTTTGATTTTTATATATTAGGTATTATCCTATATATATCATTGTTACTGGTTTCTAACGTACTCCTGTTGTGGATGGTCAGAGAATACAGTTTGGGTTATTTCAATATATATATTTTTTCACATTGAGACTTGTTTGATGGCTTGGCATGTGATTTTTGTGAATGTACCTTTTGTCCTCGAAAAGAACAGTGTCTGCAATTATTGGATGTTGTATTCTGTAAACAGTGGTTGGATCAAGGTAGTTTATAGCATTGGTCAGATCCATTATGTCCCGAATGATGTTTTGTCCAGTTATTCCATTAATTGCTGTAAGAAGAGTGTTAAAATCTTTTATTTCAATTGTATATTTTGTGTACTTC